TGCCCTTTGCTTCTAGTAGCCTCTTGTTCCTAGTAGTAAGGCCAGGACTTACTAGTAGCGTCCTTGCTCCTAGTAGCGATGCCCTTTAGGAACCGAAGCCCATTTTTTGTATACGGGCCGTGAGGGCCGGGCTTCGTAGTAGCCATCTTGTTTCAGGCATTTTCTCAGAGCCTGGCCCGTTGGTAGTAGCTCTATTTGGTCCATCATCTAATATCAAACACATGATGAACAATGTATATACTATACCTAAAGAACATATTTGGTGTCTGGCACCTCATGGCTTCGGGGACCAGAAATTTTTCAAGCAGCTCCTGCTGCTAGCCTTGATTCTTTGCTCAAGGCTGGAAGATGTGATTTTGGAGGCTTTGCGTGGTCAACAGGTAGCCCAAGACCACGAAGGGCAGGAGCCAGTGGGTGGGTGGGGAGGTGTTCTTCTGTGGCAGGAACAGTCATTCGCTCCAGGGTAAGTTGGGGTTTTCATGCTTGAGATGTGTATCTACAATACGCAAACAATTAGACATACATAGTAATCCCTCACTCAGGATTCCGAAAACATCGCATCTCGTCACTTGCATAGACACGAGCCTTTACCCAGTGAGCCTTTGCCCTTGGCTGCATTCTAATGAGGGAAGACCCCATTCTTTGGAGGTGTAACTCATCCCGAAGTGAAGAAAAACGCGTAGGAAGTCGCCATGCGTCCCAAGTAGGTCCTCTCCGAAAACCCACAGCTCTTGTGTTGAAGGCAAATTCACCATATGGTCCTTCCAACAGAGGTTGAAGAACCCTATAGGCTATCCCATAGGTACGCTGGTAGGGTCCTATAAGGTCACTTAACCTCTGTTGGTTTAGCCGTGCGAGATGATCCTCCAGATCCTCGTTCCCGGGCGTCTCGGGCGTCCAGTGTGCATCGTTTCCTGAATTCGATGTTCGACCTCACCCAAGAAAGGACAGGCCGTGTCTTGATCAAGGGCCTGATCAAATGGGTGAATGATGGTGAATGTGTAGGCTTGCTTGTCAAACGTGGAAGAAGCTGAAACAGATATACACATCATGAAACCACCAAATATTGAACATATATTAGATCATAGGTTTGTCTCAAAGTGAGGGAGCCCCATAGCCACAAGCATAGTCTGTCGTCATTTGGGACGAAGTCCAACCTGCACTTCCACAGTCTGTCGGCAGTGGCGTTTTCTTCTTCCTTCCCACACCCGATCCTCTCTCTCCGACCCACGTCTCCGGTCGGGCGCCCGAATGCCCCGGTCGACCGGTGTTGGCGTCCCACGTCGGTCGCGAACGTCTCGGTCGCACCGAGTTCGGTCTCCGGCGGTGAGGAGCTCCACAGCTCACTGGAAAGGCTTTTGGAGTTGGCTGTGCAGTGGAATTGCGAGAAGCACTACGCGACTGGGATCGGATCCGGCCGTTTTTACATGCGACACATGGATGGTGAATTGTGTAAGGGAAACAACCAGAAAAGGAACAGTATAGTTGATAGATGAAGCTACTTTGGTAAACTATGCCTGCTGTTTGGAACAAGCCATCAAGGCATCGAGGGTCAGCATCTCCTTGGAGCTGGTAACATCATACAGTCGCCCTGTTTTCATCTGGGTGAGCCAGGTAAGCTGCTGAATACCCTTGGTGCCATTGATTTGCATGTTATGTCAATTGAAAGGGTGACCAGGTCAGAGCTAGTAAACCCTGGGCACTGCGGAAATACATGGAATACTTTCGAACTTGAGATTTTTAGTCCAAGGGAAGATGTCGAGTCATTTTGTAGAACCCCCCAATTCTTTTTTTCACTGGTTTCATTTGGAGTCATTCGTGGGCTCACAGTAAGAGTTTGTAGGCTTAGATAGTGTTTGGTTGAACACCCCAACACCAAATTTGGAGCAGGCGACACTGTCGATGTGTTTGATGTTTTTGAGTTCACCTGCCATTTCCCAAGTCGCTCGCTGCGTGAGGTGTATGTCAGTGTCTCCCTGGAACTAACATGGTGGAATCGGAAGACCAAACAGGGGGGTTTCACTTCACTTCCAGGTTGCCAGGCAGAGTATGTCTCCCAACGAGCATCACCCAAGGTGACTATCGCGCGACGCTTGGTGGCAACGTGCGGCTTTCCCAAGGCCACTGGGGACAGAGATGGGTTTGATGGCAGACTGGACATTTCGTTGGCAAAGAGGCCAGTTCTTTTGGATGTGAACGTACCACATTCCTTTTGCCCGAAAGCTTGTTTGGTTCCCCCAGGACTCCTGAGTTCAAGACAGTGCTATTCAGGAGAAAAGATACTTACACAGTCGAATGAGGTCATCAACAAATATAGGACAGGACACTCTCCAATCCGTAATGCAACATTGCTTTGCTTAGTGCTTGCGTCTCAGTCGACTTGGAGCGTCAAAAACTGCGACGGAACCGCCTCATGTTGGGTGTTTTTGCTTGGTCCAGGCTGCTCGTTTCATCTTGCAGCATTTCTGCAACGACTGGTCCGAGAAGGAGGCGCAAGCACGGCGTGATTCGAAGGGCGGGAGGTTCTGCACGTGCAGCGACGCGATGCGGCGAGGAGGTGGCGCGCGAAGCCCGGTGTTTGTGGCCCGGGAGCCTTGGCTCCTTGAAAGACCCTAAAATGGTATATATAGCTTGGAGGCCATTGCTACCAGGGGTGGAGGCCATCGCCACTAGCAGACACCTACTAGGTTGGAGGCCATCGCCAGGTTGGAGTCCGTTGGGCGGATCGGCAGGTGGAAACCGCTCCGCTGATGCGGTGGTTGGTGGCCACCTTCATCGACTCCTTGAAGCCACTGGGAGTGGTTGGCAGGTGATGGTTTGGCGGATTGACCGAGATGTGATGGGACGGACGCCCCACCCAAACTCGGCAAAGGTGCCTGGTTTGTTTGTTTGGCAAAAGGATGAAGATGAGCCCATTCTGAACTGCTCTTGCCAGGGGCATTCGTTTTCACTCGGAGACGGGAGACGTCGTATCAGGAGACCAGACTGTAGGGCGTTTCTTCGTTTTGGTGGGGCATGGCCATGGTCTACTACGGCCGACGCTTCCGGCCGCCAACGGCCAAGTCTTCCGACGTTTACTGTATTCCTTGGGACTGAGCTTTAAGCTGTAGACACTACATGACACTACTACACATCGCATATGGTGTAGCCCCTATTTAGAAGAAGGACAGGACCCACTGACGTTCCCACACATTGGGCTTCTCCTCCGCTCAGTGACTTTGTATGGCAATAGAAACCAAACAAGAATACGGGATAATACGGGGTTACTTCATGACGTCGTGAGCTCAGTCACTGGAATGGAAGGGTTCACTCCACCATTGGCAATTTTCCATGGATCCATCTTCCTCGGAGTGCCGTGATGGGACTTTTGGTGTAAGAGAAACAAGTGTCTGATGGACATGTAGAAAAAGCTTGCATCCAGTCGGACCGGTTGATGGACAAGTTCTACATGTTTCTTGTTCCCTGAAAACCCATTTCTTCATCAATCCCCAATGTCATGACTTTTGCTGCCTCATCCTGTCCTTAGCAGTCTAGCAGGCCTAGCATGTTTGACCTTCCAAGCCACGCGCTAAAAGGATGAACACAAACACTCCGACCCTCCGCTCCGCTCCTCGATTCGACCGGACGCCGAGCAGAGCGGAACCCGCTTCGAACGAGCCGAAGACGCTGAGGCGCTTGGACCTCAATGAGTTGAGCCCCGGGAGTATCCGCTGGAACAAGGTGGGGCGACGCTGGTGCCACCGGGTGACCATGGGTGGGAACCCCTCCCATCGGGCCCGGCTGAGGATCGGAAGGTCGAAGCACTTGAAGAGTGATCGGAAGCGGGGGATGGTTTCGTTTCAAGGATTAAACTTGAAAGGAACTGTGAAAGGAGCATGAACTGATGCGAATTCGGTGGTGTTCACCATGTGTTTACACACTGCTTGAGGTGTCAGGAAGCTGGTGTTTGGAGATCCAGGAGGTATATATGAAGAGTTCATTTCGTGGACTTGTTCCTCCCATGGCCGTGCCTTAGAGCGAGGGCATGTGAGGGCCGTGCCGGACCTTGCGCTGTGCGGTGAGCACTTTTTCATCTTTTTCTTTCATGAAAACATGCCACACACACACAGACAGACCTGCAAGTGACTACTAAAGACTAATAGCTACATCCACCAGTGGCAGGCCTCTTCTTTTGACCCCCTGGTCTTTGCCTTTCCCAGGCAGAGATGCAGCTCCAAACCTTTGAGGTCTCCTCTTTGGCACACTTGTGGCTGGATCGATGCGATCTCGCTCGATCGCCGTTCGGTGGGTTCGGTGGAACTGGGTGATGGGACCGACCGGCGACCCACCGGTGTTGGTGGTGGGGCCATGTGTTTGTGGGCGGTGCGCAGAAATGGTACCCGAGCATTGGAAGAGGCAGGGGTGGGCAGGGGACAGTAAGCGGATATGCAGGGTGTGAGGCTTAGTGTAGCGGATATATATATACATTATATCATACATAAAAATATAGATTTGTTTGTTAACACAAAATCAAAGCGGATATAGAGGGGACACTGACAGTGCGCAGGATGTGAGACCCTAAGAGTGGTCTTTCTCCTGCTCACTCCGCTCCTGCCCTTGCAGTGAGCGGGCCCACAGCGGGCAGGGTGTGACGCTGTGAGACGCTTGAGCTGAGGTTTATTTGGCTAGTAGCCTGGCTGCAGCTGCTTGAGCGATCGTGGTTTCACATGGTCCAAACAAAGAGGTACGCCCAGTAGGTGGTGATCTCAACTTTTGAAAACAAAGCATGTTTGTCAAAGTCAATGCCTCCCAGAATCGGGTATAACAAATTTGGCTGCGTGGTTGGTAGGTACTGATACCATTTCAAGGGACTCTTCAACTCCGTTTCTGAAACAGCACCATCCGATCCCTTGCCCGACTGCAGGTGTTTTCAAGTGGGATCCACAGACTTAGCTTAAGCCCCAGTTGACTTGGAAGGAACTGCAGTTGGACGAAGGGCTTGAAAAAGCTCTCATCACTTCTATGGTGGGTGAAAGACCAGTTGTACCCACGTAGAGCATCAATATGTCAGTATATTAATGTTATATAATTTGCCTTGCTTGTGGCGCCAACACGTTACATCAATTTGCTTCTGGTGCCTGTGGTGAGTTTGTATGTTCGCAACCCGTGTTTTGGATGCGAGGAGACTCTGTGCAAAAAGGGAGTGGGCCCCCAGAGGTTTTCGTCATAGAAAAAACACCCGAAAACTGAGAATGGACCCGGGTCGAATGGGACCTGGATGAGTGTTTCTTCCTCTACAAACCGACGTGGTTTCGGGGTCCATGGGATCCTTTTCCACGGGACGTCGTGTCTTTTTGACCGGCCAAAGATGGCCAAAGATGGCCTCTCCTGGACCCTCAATGGGTGCACAATGGGATACAAGGGGTGCAGAAATCTATACATTGACCAGCATCTTACAAGCATAAGAGATTTGATGATCCGATCCCAGTTTTTCCAGGGACACGTCTACGCATCTGTATGCTTGGGAAGATGTAGCACCGGCACCTGTCGATCGCAACCCTTGCGGGGGCTTCAGAACAGCCCGTGAGGTCGAAAATATGGCGCCGGAATCCGTGACGGACGTCTTGTTCCTTGGGCTGTTCGTTCGTGGGCTTGGGTGGGCAGAGTGTCTTTTTAGACCACCGAGTTGGAGTGATGGTCGATGTGTGTGCCTGCAGCCTAGGTGTCCAGAAATGCTAGCTGGCTGTTTGCCGATCGCAGAAACCAGGTTCCAGAATCGAATGGACACGCATCGGCCACCCTTATTTGAGTGACAACTTGCCCAATTAGGAAGCTGCCAGTGGAAAGCTCCTTCTCGGGATTCCCATGATTCCTATGTTTCAGAAGACCGGTCTGTCACGCTTCAGACGTGACTCGTCTGAAAAACATCGTCTCGCTTCGAGCTTCATCACGACATGCCACAACATCACATCTGCCCTCGGGCGAGATGTTGGAGACAAGATGGATGAGCAGAGCTGCTCTGCTTCTTCAGGGCACCACACAAGGACAGCTAGTGATGGTAAAGATGGAGATAAAGACAGCTGGCGATCGTTCTTGATTCCTTTGCCACACAAGAGTCGACACCCCACACAGGCTTAGCTGTCTTTATTTATTCTTCTTTATTGATGCTGACGAGGCTGACCAGGCATGTTGAACCTGCAACTACCATTTGTGTACACACGCAGGTGACTTTCATGTTGCACAAGAAGGATGAGCCGTTGAAGGTTGGCTCTCAAGGCATTCGTCAAGTTGGGGCAGGTTTCTGACCCCGAAGCTCCATTGCGCACATGCGTGAGCATGGTCGCAAGAAAAGCCCAGTTTGGAAAGGTACAGTCTTAGGAAGTAGCATGGACGGTGAAAAAAACAAAACTTTTTGCCGGGACCATTTTTTTGACATGCGCTGCAGTTTCTCACATGGCGACAGGGCGAGGCGGCGGGCTTTCCGCTTCTGGCTGTCACAATTTGGTGAGAAGTCCGCTGTCAGGACAGGGCCTGTCAAGTCTCTTCCAGAATATTGGCTCCGCATAGCAGCCCCATGGAGGTCTGCACAAAACTGAAAAGACATCAGGCCGAGTCCGCAACAAGGGCAGCAACATCCAAAAGGTGAAACGCTAGCAGGCACACGGGTGCATGCACTGCTTCAGAGCAAGTGTTTTCGACACAAGCTCAAGCTGGAAAAGGACATTTCAGCAAAGTAAGTGCTGAATATTCAAACAGCATAACAGCATAGGCGTCACTTCCATGTTAGTTCCAGGGAGTGTACCCAAACCTCCTGTGAGTGTTTGGGGGTCAAACAGGGGTGTTCGCTCCGTTTGAGAGACATCCCCTTGCCCGCAAACCCTTCTATCACACTGTACTACCATTCAAAAAACATTTTGCCATCAGCAGCACGGTCCAACGAAACCACTTGCTGAGCGCTGCTGCATGGGATTGCATTGGCTCTCAGTTCGACAGTCCTTGAGACGTTGAGATGTCTTCCATCACAAATGCGCAGCTCCAATCATTTGCGCAGCTTGGCCACCTACGACCAACCTCCCTTCGGCGACTGTTGTATACACTGAAACTGCTAGCTGGCAAAAATGGGCTAGCTGATGCTAGCTGGCTCGTGTCCACTTCATCCAAATGGTCCAACGAAATCACATTCTCCGTACCGTAATATCAGCAATCCTCCCGCATGCCACATCCCAGTTCGCACATCACCGCCGCAGCTGCGAGAAAACAGAAGGGCAGCACCCGTGGTCTTTTCGAGCGAATGAGGACTGCTTCATCTGATCGACCCCCGGTGAGGTAGAACTCCACACCGAAGGCGTATAGTGGGGACCATGCGGGTGGTGGGTTCTCCGCCGGCCCTGAGGTGGCTTTGCCTGGACTACCCCGCCCATGGCGCTTTGGCGGCCGCGTCCGTGTGTCGCCACGCAGCGGAGCTGTACCAGCTGCAGGGGAGCGGGTGGTCGGTGGCGGTGAGGGTGTGATCTACCATGTAAACAAGTTCAAGAACACCGGGCAAGCTCTTGTTCTCCCATCGCCCAGGATCGATCGCATCGTCCCGGATCGATCGCATCGTCCCGGATCGATCGCATCGCGGCGTCGGTGATGGGAGGAGCTATGGTGAGACAATCGTGGGCAATCGTCTCTTCAAGCGCGCCAATCGCTTCGAGGCGGCCCGTTTCGCCATGCCCCGTTTCCACCGCCGCGATGTAGCGGCGGCGATGTATAGTGGGCGATGGAATGCGATGGATGTGGTCGACTATCGGGTGTCTTCACAGTGCGTTTAGGAAGCTTGGAAGAGAAAAGAATCTTCCGAGCTGGAGACAAGTACATGTTCTTGACGTTTCCTTCCAAGGAACATTATTGATGCAATGAAATCATTGGAAGTGAGCGCATTTTCCACTACCAGAATTGTTTGAGGGCTGCGGAACTCCTTCATTCCTTCATGCATTTCCAACTCACTTTGCGAAGGGAGAGCTTTTGCATCAAGGACAGAGAGCGCGAGGGCCGAGTAATGAATTTGACACAAAGCAGCCGCACCCTAAAATGAGGATCGATAAGTATGGTAATGTAGTAAGTAGGCTGGCAAACAATGTAGTAAGTAGGCTGGCAAATAATAGAGCACGACCGAGACCCTACTGATCGAGTAGAAGAAAACAGGTATGTCCATGGTCAAAAAGGTAATGTGCAGGGAGACTGAGCCATATGTTTGAAGGACACGAATCATGCAAGAGGACTTCAATCCCTACCCGATATCAATTGAAAGGGATTGAATCCCTACCTTTCATGGTTGGAAAGGTATCCCGTGAACAGTCCCTTGGCTACCCCTTCCAATCCCGCCCATCCCACTGCCGAACCTCTCACTCCAAGAAACTCTCACCCCTTCCCCTCCAACGAAACACCCAACTGCCTCCAAGAACCCGTGAAGAAAAAGCAGATGCTACTCTTTAGCGCTCCCCATGGCATTCGCACCAAGTTGGCGGATATATAAAACGTACCAAACATAGACATACAATCACAGACATACAGCAAAGCAAATAGAATCGCTCATACGGTGTCGGTGTGTGGGCGTGCCCGAACACCGCTGGTCCGGTTCTTGCGCACCAGGCGATGGCCATTCGCTTGCTGGAGGGCACCTGGACCGGGAAGCGGATGGCGGGTCAGTGTGTTGTGAGGGGGTTCTTGGATGTTCTTGGTGATATGGTGGGTCAAACACCTCGAATCAAAGTGTTCCAGTGGGTGGGATTGCAGACATCAGAAGTCTGACAACCAGAGGCTGGCCAAGCATGGTAGGTCTCGGTGCTTCACCAGGTCCACTGCGCCGAAAAAGGCTGAGAAGATACAGTAATCACTGGCGCAGCTCGCTGGAAGGAGAGCAGAAAGTGGTCAGTTTCACGAAGGATCGAACCTGGTTCAAACACAAGGCTTCTTCTCAAACATCCCATGACGCGATGACGCGATGGTGATTTGTGGCCAGGTGCACCTCCCAGCTGTTTGGCCAGGAGCATCGGAGCCTGGAGAAGTTCCTTCCTGACAAAACCTGATTTTCACCGCCCAGGAGGAATCAGCTGAATCAATATCAGAGCCCACAAAGCCAGCGTTGCAAAAAAAAGCCTTCGGGCATTCGGGCATTGGGTTCGCCTCATCCAGCGTTCGTTGCGGTGAACCACCTCCGAATTCTAGACCTCCCAGAAGGGCCCGGACAGGATCCTCGATCGGCTTGATGCACACTTTGAAAGTCATGCGTCATTTATAAGATTAAAGGCTCAACCAAAGATGGACATGCGCATCAGTTTAAACTTATTTGACCGTCCATCCACGTGGTCCACGCGATTTCTTTCAGTTGGGCGATGTTCACGCCATTTTCTTCGGAACCAACCAGGGGCAGCCGGTGACCGTCCACCTCCGACCTCGGTGGAACACCGAGGATTGGATCGTGTGGATCCCTTGGAGTACGTCTTTCGATGTTCGTGGCGCTGGGGAAACCACCACCTCATCTCCTTGGCACATCACCTGGAGTGCACCTGGGCGATGTTTCGAGCCGAACACCACATCAACCGATCAACCGAACACCACATGCTCTCACCACGGTATTCTTTTTAGGCGAAGCTTCGGTGGCTGGGGGCAGGAAAACCGGGGAGCATGCCTCCAGTTTGGTTGTACATTGAAGGTTTGGTTGTACATTATAATAAAGCACTGAGAAACAAGTCGAAACTTGTCAAAATGGAAAATCACCTCGCGCAAACATGGAAGTGTGTAGTTGGCCGTTGAAGGAAAGGTCCCAACAGACAACAGAGGTCTCACTCTCAATCTATACCAAACATTTGCTGATTTTGCTGGCCTGCCCGATATTTTCTCGGGTAGCCAGCAGGAGCCAGGTGTTCTCATATTGGTCGCAGAAATTCTGCGGAAGCGGGTCTCGAGATGAGGCAGGTGAGGGGAGAATATCACCCGCTGACCATGCTGAGAACATCACTTCTCCGTCAGAGTATGTCAGAGTCACGTGGAGTGTTTGCTGCTACATCTGAATCTGGGGCAGTTGTGGATGTGGAAGAAAGACGAAAGACTCATCCAGATCCACCTCAGGTGCTTGCCGCTTCCTTTGTCAGGGATTCACATGGATTCACGAGTTCTTTTTTCTGACCAAGGATGGATGGCTTGAAAGTCCAGGTGGCAAGGTTCCGCCCCAGACACGTGATGTTCACTTGATGCAATGGTGGGAACCTGCGTCGGGAAACGGATCAATCTGGGGTGAACCGAAGCTGCCCGGGGGGGGGAAGGCAGATTTGGGTGTGTTCCAATGTGTTCCACTGCAGTTGGTCAGAAGGGCCAGTGTTTTGACTTCAGAGATAGGCTGGGTCCTGGGTCCTGCGCCGCAGATCACTTCACTTTCCGAAGTTGTGCCCAGGCAAGGAATTTGTCTCACAGCACTTTTACAACTCAGCAGTGGATTTGTGACTCGGTACGGCCCCGGTCACGGGCGGACCAGGGACCGCAGCGTCGTTTTGCTGGGTGACTTGAGGGGTGGACGGACCACGGATTCCAAGTGAACGCGGAGAAATTCTCAGCGATGGAAGCCGTGGAACCCATTGGTACATGCAGCATGCATGCAACTGCAATCAATCCCGTGGAATGCCGTGGACTCCCGGAATCCCGTCGTTTGCTCAGAGTTTTTGTGCGATGCTGTATCTTTGAGGGTCCCCCAAGAACACCATGCCCAAACTTGAAAGAAACACATCCCTGGGACTCCTGGGACAAACTAAACAGACAAAAAGGTTGGTAAGTTTGGATTTGAGTCAGATGTGTTTTTCAAGTTTTTCCCACCTGTCCGGTGCTGGTTGTTTGATTTTATGTCAGCTGCCTTCCTCCTCCTTCTCGTCCTCCGCCTCCTCCTTTGCCTCGTCCTCAACCGCCAGCTCTGGCTGGCAGTGTTCTCTGCCGGATCTCAACCGCAAGTTCCGGATGCCAGCGTTCCCCGCTGGACCTCAACCGCGAGTTCCGCGTGGCAGTGTTTGTCGCCGGACCTCAACCGCGAGCTTCCGCTTGGCAGTGTTCCCCGCCGGACCTCAACCGCCAGCTCCCGATCACAAAGGCCAGATAGAAGGACCACAATGGCCAGCTCCAGATCGCAGTGGGTGCCGCCGGACCTCGCCAGATAGAATGTCAGAATTCATGTCAGCTAGAAGGTCGGATTATATGCCAATGTCCGCATGCACGCCCAGATAGAGTGCCAGAGTACTTGCCAAGTAGAATGCCAGCAATTTTTCCAGAGAACTCAGAGTATATGCCAGGTAGACTGTCTGTGACTGTCTGATTTTTTGGCCAGATAGAGTGCCAGGAAGTGGCAGAACAAATGTCGGAACACATGTCAGCACCCATACCGGGACTGAAGCTGTTCATAGCTGTCCCATATGTCACAGCACACATCAGACAGGAAAAATGTCAGAACATTCAGAACATACGCCAACAAAGATGTCAGAACACAGTCCAGAACGTTTCCCAGCCTTTATGATTTATGATGTGTCAGAGCACAAACCCGATTTGATGCCAGAACAAGCATCAGAGTATCATGTCAAGCCGCACAAGTCGCCTTTCAGGGTAGGGATCGCTCGAAGTAAAGTTTCAAGTTTGACTCGGATCTTTTGCGTTGCAGCTCCAAAAACATTGAGAAACTCACAGCAAGCATGGACAGCTTAATGGACAGGCTTAGGCGGTGTAAATACAGCATGTGAGCTTGCAGATTGACAAAAGAGTGTTTCCGGTGGAGTCGTAGAGCAGTAGGAACAAAGCTGCGGTAGCAGATGACCCGTATTTGGTACCTAGCGGTAGCAGACGATCAGTGCCGGGCACTTGTGTAGAAATCAAATTTAAACATATTTTGGAGACCATAAGACCATAAGCATCCATAAACCTTGAAATGTTGGTCGAAAAAATTTATTCGTTTCTGGTCCTTGGACATTTTAAAAAATACAAGAATCTTACTATTTTAGTGCCTTACTAACTTACTTCCTGGAACCTTGCTGGACACTAAGTGTCCACAAAATAAAGGTCAACAGCGGGACTCAGGCGGTCGACAGGTCGTGGCGTTTCCTCAAAAGTTTGATGAAATTGAGCCAGCGCACAAGTTGGTTCGATGCAGTTGTGGACACAGTCGTTCAACCCAGTACCAACACTGGTACAAAAATAAAGGTTTATGGGTAGCATCTGGGAAACTCTGCTCATGGGCATGGGGATTGCATAAGTTTGCGCTGCCCAAGCAACCAGAAAGGAAAGAATCCGCCTCATTTGCACCTTGGTCTTGGTTGTGCACTGAAACGTACTGATACTGTTTGTATCTGACAACTGCCCCAATGTCTTCGTGGGAGGGGTAACATATACTGTATATATATATATATTCACAATTATATTTAATATATGTATATAACTATATATATATATATCACAGGTGGAAAACAGGCGGATGGCCATTTACTTCTGAGATGGGCCCCAGGACAAGACCTACCACTGACATCCGGAACTCCTCAAGGTTCATATGCACCTATCTTCAAGCAGGTGCCAGATGTAGGTGCAAGATGCTGCACTTGTCCTCGCAGGGAAATCACTGAAGTAGATGCAAACATGTTTCAACATGATATCAAAGCTTCCGGAAATTTGTCCAATGAATCTCCACCAGGCCCCCTGTTTGGGGGTGTTGCAAGAATAGGCCCTGGCAGGAGGTGATTATATCGGGGTAACCATTGACCACCCCAAACGGGAGACCCCGATGGCTCGGGTGGGTCTTTGACACTCAGCCAAGCGGCGGGTCCTCGGTTCAGCGATCCGGTGCAGCTGGGGGAAACCCTGCAGCTGCAGAAGAAGCATTGGCCCTGGTTCGATGGGTTAGGAGTTCAAGGTTGAAGATGTTGAAACATATAATATATATATATATATGTACCCGTAAGATACTATCATATACTGCACGTATTGTTCAATCAAAGCATCACTCACCGGAACGCTTCCTACTTTGTTGTTAAGACTCATGGTTCGAATCCCAAACACTGGTCAAAGGCGGGTGTCCATTTGGTTTTGCCCGAGAAACACTCGTTGGGGTAGAAACTCTTAAGGGACAGAACCACACCGTGGCACGACTCTTAAAGTGAGCCTCGCCGTGCGGATTGACGCGGATGAAAAACAGGGGGGGTGGGGGTGGTCCCTCTGTTCTCCTCCTCATGTTGATCTCTCCTTCGCCCGCCTTCACCAGGCTTTGGGTGACGCCCACACCCTTCGCCGTTTTCGCGTTCGACAAAGATGATCAGCGGAGACAGGCGAACAAGGCACCGACCGGGGCACCAGCGAGCTGGGGTGGTTTGGACCAGGTTAAAAGATCGATGCACGTTGAAGCAATACTAACCCATGTTTTGATGCAAGTCTTCGGGTGCTGTATGTCATGTGCATCCTTTCGCTTAAAATGAAGCAAACCTAGTGGCGCCCCATGCCACTATGAATCAAACATGATCAAACCGTAGTTCCCAATATGATCAACACAGTGTCCATATGATTCGACCACATGTTCAGACACCTGCCACAGTGGCTACTCGGCTGACATGAGCAGGCAAAAAAGCAGCCGCAGCTGTGATGTTCATTCCTAGTCTATAGTATACAAGGATCCTTTGAGAGTTTGGATGTGTGTTGCATGAAAGGTGACCTAAAGTCCCAAGGTTCCCAAGGTCAGTCTATGTTCATGAAGTTTGACCAGATCCTGGCTGGGATCTTGGAAGATGAACCTGGTGATGGGGTGCGTCCCTGTGAGTTCTTTGATATTCTTCCCTGCCGCAGCTGGTTGTGTTACTATGCCAACTTCACGGTGCCAATGAGCGCCGATTCGGTTACGCATGGTGACGCCGATTCGGTGGCTTCTTTGTTTGAGGACCAATGTGACGGGTGGAGGGTGAATCCTCACCATGGAGGATTCCAGCGGATTCCAGGTTGAAGCATCCATGAGTTTGACGAGCTGAATTGGAACCCTGTGTGAGAGGATAAACCATTTGGTCGTCTTCCAAACCTCCAACTGAGTCTTCTTGGAATGCTGAAGAGGAACACATGGTGAAACCTGGCCGACGCCAGGTGATGGAACCTTACCCAGAGACTCTTGGACATGAAGACGCATCCAGAAGCTTTCCGGTGTTATGTAGACCCAACTCCGCTGGCCCAGAAATACTCGCCGGCAGGCTGTTTGGGTGGGTTTTAACCAGCACACACGTACGATTTGCACCGCTTTTTCATACTCAACGCACAAATGTTTTAGATGCTCCATGAGCATGAAGTTCATCACCATCACAGAGACTTGGGGAGACCCGTTGGAGTCGTTCTTATATATGTTGTTGGAGCCGACGAAACTGCGCTGGGACTGACTGCTGCGAACTGCAGCACGACACATGAGGCCCGTTCAAAAGACCCAGCCTGAGGCTGAGGACGAGGTGCTGTCAGAGCACGGATGCTTCATAGAACGGAATTGATGAACAATTCATCGATCGGTGGTGCTTAGAACCGTAGAACGGTGATGTTCTTCCTTTCTCCAAGGTGAACGGTGAGGGTCATAGATTTGTGTCTTCTCCGAAGATGGGAAGTGGAACGCACCCACTTTCTAGAGGAATATCACCAAACCCAAGTGTTCATTCAGCAAAAACTGTTTGCTAGAGTGAGTCCATGCATAGCCATGCTTGTTTGGAGACCTTTCTGGAGTCACTGGAGGATTCTGTGCAGCGTGTCGTACAGCTAGAATGAATAGGACGGTCAACAGCTGATCACTGGTTTTGTGGTTGTATTTCAGTATACAAATTTACGTTGTTTACCAAAAACACCTGTAACATGGATGCACATGTAACAAGATCCCCTTACTGAATCAAATCTGACCGCTCAAGAATGCGTTTGCTTTCGGTGACGCTTCAGACTCCTGCCCCCCGCGTTCCCCCGCGCGTGTCTGAGGATCTTCCTGCGGCTCTTCCAGCAACTCTTCAATCCGAGCAGTTCGCGGCACCAGCTGAGTTTGAGGGACTTGAGCTCCATCCCCAGGCCCAGCTCCGGATCGATCGCGTGCCTTCGTTCCGCAGAAGTGTGGCACTGGACTTGTGAGAATTGGTGCGAGACAGCAGAACTCTTGTGGGACTCCATGTCTAGGAGTTCAGTTGGATTTTTTGCGGGACGTACTGCAGATTGCAGATGTTCACATCAAGGTTCATGGGATTTTGCGTTGACAGGTCTCGAATCTATATATATTTATACTTGGACTCCTTGAATAGGACAAGATAGAGGTATTAGTATACACTGCATCCTGAAGTTGATCCTTTGTATGTTGGTATCAGGTTTATATATATATATACATAGACATCGTCTATGCACGTCTATGCAACGCACTACTACTCTTCAGTAAGACCGGACTCTCATGGTCGTTCGCTTAACGACAGACCGACAGGGCTGCACGACCCCTCACGACCCCTCACGATCCACGGAAGAGGAAGACCGGGGAGGAGAATGACACGAAAGATACACATTGTATCATATTACCCAAACACTCCATGTATGCCATATATGCCTACATTGGGGTGGTTTGAGGGGTCAATGTAGGCATATACGGCATACATGGAGTGTCTGGGTTAGCTACGTGTCTTCGCGATGCACTTGCTCCGTTGGTAGCGATGCCCTGCTGCCTTCTAGTGTCCGAACGCGAACGCGTTGCACTTGTTACTAGTATCATACTATATCGTCAGTTGTTCTGTGATGTTTTTGTAAAAATTGATATATTGGGCGTTTTGCTGTTGCACTTTTTGGCTTACGTATCTATGATATACACAATGTCCTGTAAAGATGATTGTATATTGGATTATCAACCCACCCAATAGCAACCCAAAAAACGTTGTTTTGCGTCAACGAGAAGACACTCCGGCAGTCGCCGGAATCAAGTCGAAACATTAGATTGAAGAAAGGAACAAATCCATGTTTTATATGTCAACCAAAACGTTGCAAAATGTATTACTATGTAAAAAAAAGTGTCTCACTGGTGTCACCTGAAATCCCGGCACATTGACGGCTGAATATCCGTCAAGACTCTGCCGGCCCAATGGGAATCGGGTATCCATTGGGTGAAATTGGAGCGATGGATCATTCAGGATCTTAGGGGGTGGGAGGTACTTTTATGTATAATATTGTGATACTTATTTTACAGTAAATTTGGACGCCCATAGATGCCCAAATGTCCCTCATCCTCATATCCCCAGTCATAGGGTTTCATTTGGCTCGTGTGAATCCACAAACTGCTGTTCTCAGGAAAACGCACCAAATACAACATGCTGTTCTCCCCCCCATGACAACCGTCACTGCACCAAAAACTAGAACCAAAATGGAATGTCCTTTGGATTGGGGTTTTCAACCATTGCATCATTAACACCAAACCGCCGCGAAACAACGGTTCAACGCCGCCGCCGATCCACGCGGATCGTCAGGGTCAAGGCGCTCACGCACGGTGGTTCGAGCCACGTGGCGGCGCGAGCGGCGAGGTGGACGTGGCGCGATGCGGCGTGCGGTTTTTGGGGCTTTTGGGGCACGGCGCGAGGTGGACGTGGGGGTAACCCAGCACATGGGGCGAGGCAAATTTGCATCAGCAAGGCTTGGAGGGTCTCCAATGGAACATCGAAAGCAGATGTTGGGTTCCAGCACAATCCAAAGGAGGAGTTCCTGTGGTGATCAGTCTGTTTTGGAACATTGACCAACCCTGTGGAACTGGCCCTGCCTGTGACGTCATCGTTGTTTCGGGCCATGGATTGTGATCGATCGGGAGCTTATGTTAGCTCTTGGTGAAGGTGTTCCAGGTGTTTCTAGTCCACAAAGACGACAACATTGATGCAATGCGTTTATATCAATTTGTTGTCCTCATGAGTTTTTTAAAGGTTTAAGCACCTGTTTAAAATCTGTTTAAGGGATGTGACCTTGGACGGAACATGGGCCGGTTTCGATCCTACTCTCTGTGTCCGATCATGTCCAAACAGTCCGCACAGATGGCTCGCCCCCAACTGGGATGCCTTCTTCGTTATTCTTCTTTCTATCTGAGGATATGTTTGATGTTTCTACCAATTTCGGATTTCGACAACATGTTGGCTGTTATTTTTCGGCCCAAGGCTCTTCGTCCCATATCGACCTCATGAAACTCATGCCGTCCTGGCATGACCCCTTTGCTTCGGAAGCTTTTCAATCCGTCCATGTGGACCTTAGATAACCTCTTATGTCAGACATGGACAGCTGAATCTGGTTTTCTGTGGTTGGGAGACCTTATGATCCCAAACAGATAGAAACGGTGTGCAATGGCGATTTAGTGTGTCTATCATTTTCTATCTATTTGGAGACCACACACTGGAAAGCAATTGACAGGAGATCAGAGAGCCGAGATCCAAAGCCACCCTCCGAGAGCGAGCCGCCGGCCCAAGGAGTCACCTTTGTGCTTCTTTATTCACACTTTGTCCTCTTTTCCACCGGGTACGAGGTGCGCCTGCGCGTGCTCGGGATGAGAGGGTGAGAGGTTGGAAGATGGCTGGAAGGAGGCACTGGGAGATTGTGGGAGTCTCGTTTTTGTGTCGAGTTTCTTGCAGTCAATGGATCCAAAAGATCAAAATGGAGTCATACATAATCACTATGTCGAGGCGCAACTGAAGAAAGCACGTATTGCACGTAGATTTGGTCGGATCTGTGGATCCCAAGTGCCAAATCCTACGTGCCAAGAGTGCCAACAACCACCGTACCGGGCGGGCCCTTTCAGCCCCCGGCACGGCGGCTCAGCTGGCCTCAGCGCTGCAGGCCTGGCTGCTGAGCCTGGTGCTCTTCGTGTGGGGCATCTCGTTGAGCCTCATCGAGGCGTTGCAACTCCAAGCGAAGGGATCGATTGGTCGCCTGGATCGGTCCAGAGCGGCGACGTCAAACTCGGACGGACCCCTTGCAGGCTGCTGCTAGGCCAGGTCAGAGTTGAGACATGAGGAGTGATGGAATTCTTTGGACACTTCTCTTCTCCTGATTATAGTTCATGGACCTGCCTGGCCTGGCTCGTTGATGTGTGATTACTGGGGGCATTGAAGAGTCACTGGGCCTTCTCAAGACAAACACACGCGCAGTGGAAGATCAAGAAAGGGACAGGAAAGAGCTCCACCGGTGCCAACGCTTTGAGTTGCGAGCAGAATTTGTTGCAAGAGACTCCAACCAAAAAGCATCGCTGTCCATGACGTAGCCCCTGCCAAAGAGTGTTCCCATATGTTCCGATCATGTTTTTGCTATGGGTCCTTCACTCCAGGCGTAGGAAGCACGGCTCGGGCAGCTGCGCAGCTGTTCTTTCCCTAGGCGTTGAAGTCTCCATGACCCATGAACGTGCGTTTCTTCATGGTGGATCAAAATGACTACCCGGCGAGGCAGTCATAAGTTAGTTCTGTGGGAATGACTCGTCATCCGAGAGTTAGGACTATCTCAACATATATATATATATATATACTATATCCATCTATATCCAAACAAAGGAGGTCCCAAGCCAATCCAGGGGAGACTACAAAGCAACAACCAAGAGTCGGAAAATCCGGCCAGAAGACGCTTCAATGAATACTTGGGCTGCCCAACAAAAGACTGTTTTTGACTCCGTGGGTACTCAGGTCAATACATGAATATTTGGAATGGCTTGGACGTGCTTCTGATCTTTACCTTGCTGATCGGCCTCATCCTTTGGTGCCCTCGGTTCGGGAATTGGGCCTGCCTGCCAGAGGGATGCAGAGGGATGGCACCTGCCATTTGGCCACTGACCAAGGAGACTAAGATGAGGTGTGAGACATGTGTACCGTAGGTCTCCTCCTTCAGGGGTCGTTGAGAGCAATAATCATGGTTCAAGGGTGTTTGACGCTATGTAACACTAAAGGTACTAAAGGAATGTGACTGCTCACATCGAGTGCTCAGAAAAAAAAGTGAAAATAGCAGTAGCACTGTTCTATATAGGGCAGGCGACTTAAGGATTTCTTTTTGGCAAACCCAACGAAGAAGTTTTGAGCCAATGAGGTTTTCCCCGAATTCCACCACGGCTCTAGATCTTGAACCGGTCCATGGATCTGAGATCGGAGAGATCATACTGGATCCATAGGCCGGTCTATCAGAGGGGAAGAAGAAAGAACCACTTATGTACTATGACTTTGCTTTGTCAAATTGGTCAGCAATGTTATATACTAATTAATGTTTAAATGGACATTCCCGGCCAACGCACGCATAAGTTTTGGGACCGGAGTAGTGCTGGTCTGAGTAGAGCGTATGCCACATCCAATGTTGTAGATGTGGTAGCTGAGTAGATCTGCTTACTCGTGTTCGTGTCCAACAAGAGTTATCAGGGCAAGAACTGCATTCACACCCATAGGAAAACCCAACACATATTGGACAAGAAACATGCTGACACGCACCCAAGCACTCACCACCAGAAGCGCACTGAAGGCAAGAAACGCGCTCACGAGCAGAACCGCACTCAAGGGAAACAATGCACTCATGGGAAACAACGTACTCAAGAGAAGAAACGAGCGTGCCTGAAAATTTGCGCGAGCCCAACGCATCTGGACGATGCAGCAAAAACTATGTGATTGTTGGAAGAGAATGAGGACCATGTTCCGAACGGAGAAAACTGCACCATGTTCCTAGGGGATGTGGAAGACTTTGGTGCAGGAAATGTATGTGCCGCTAACACATGTGTGTACAAACAGAACGCGCTCGCGATCGCTCACGGCAAAAGAAATGTGCTGAGCAGAAAGACATGCTCACAAACACAAAGAGGCGCGTAGCATTTTCTAGTAGATGTGCTTCTTTGGGAAGATGCAATTATTCATTGGCAACTTAAAGTGGGGACGCCTTTCCAGGCTGAACCTGGGTCAATGGGCTTGAAAGCAGCTGGACACATCACGCTACCTGACAACAGCATGTGAGCTGCAAATGGACTGGGAAACAGAAATGCGAATGCATTGTTTGTCTCGAGTGGGGCTCGCGTTAGGTGGTGAATGCAAAGTAATGCATTTTCCTAAAAACTGGTCACCTTTAGAGAATGGCCAATTGTGGACTAAAATGATCTATTTTGTGAACGTTGCGGAGTTGCGAAGTGCGTTTCGCAAAACACAGCACAGCACTTCGCTCCGCCAAATTGTCGACCCAACGCTTCAAGACAAAGCACGCTGGAGCGGGCCAGTGCTTCAGTTCTGCAGAACAAGGACCCGTTTGCCTAGAAGAAGTGTTTTGTTATGTTTTGTCTATATTCTCTCAGGATTTGTTCTGTTCTCTTTGGTTTTGGACGCGTGTAAAGGCGGCCTACATTGGCGGGTTCGAACTATTGGTTTGATACGGAAGATCCGGATCTCAGCATGGATAGGTTTTCACACAGATTCAAATAGTCCATCATAGACCTCTATTTGTCATTATTTGTCTATATCTGTCTATGCAACCATGGTCGTTGCCCGCTTCCATTAGACCTGAATTACCTACCAAACAGACTTACAGCAGTAGATGATGGCCAAAAGTTTGGACGCGCTTGTGGACCATTGCGTACATCATCCGCATCACTATCGTAACCTTCCTCAGCTTCCTCACACTGCGCAGGCATGCCACATTTAGCCTTGTTTCATCGTTTTTCCCTCCATTCCTCCTCGTAATTCTCGGTGAGTCGAGCTAAACTCGGCCCCTCCGAGTTTCGCCCCCGCTGCGGTCGCCGGTTTGGACTTTCTCTCGCCGACGTGGGAGTCGTCGGTGCTTCAGGTGGTGCCTGGTCCCTTGGGCCTTGTCTGAACAGACGGTGAACTCAGTGCACGCCCTGACGCTCGGCGGACGGAGCCAGTTCAACGGAGGCGGTTCAACCGGGTCGATCACCAGTGCATTTTGAGATTCTTTTGGGGTGGGACTGCTTTGGGATCAAACAAAAAGATAGAAGTAACGCAACTGATTTTGTGTTTGAAATTGGTGTTTTTGGGATTTGGGCTGCTCAGGGTGGTTTTGCGATTGTTTTGGTATGTTCTCCGACCAACTGAGTAGCACCTGGGCGCCTGGCCAACTCAGGAACCTGCTGCCTTGCTATGTTCGACTGCTACAGATCTTTGAGCTCTCGGAATACTTCGGAACCCTGCTCTTCACGGTCTTTGGCATGGCACAGGATACGCCACTTGGCGTGCGCACACAGAGTGTTGGCGTGCGCATCCAGGCGGATGCTGTTGATCCCCCAAGTCTTTGAGATATACTAGGATATGATGACCTAACCTTCAACTGTGAGTGATTGTGAGTGAATCCATCTCAGAACATGTTGCTCAAATCCACATACTAATTTCCATAAATCCTTGTGCAACAATTGGTTGGTTTTGACTATCCTTGAGTTTTGAGGTTGAGATATCCACGAAGAAATGCACAGGTGAGGCGTAGATAGCCTGAGAGCATCTTTGACGAGCACAGGCTAGCCGGCCTGATGGGTCCCATCATGTACCACTTGAGTGCAGGATTGGGTCTGCAAAAACCATGTGAAAGAATCTAGACATAGCTGAGCAGCAGCTGAGTTCAGCTGAACAGAGTGCTGAGCAGTTGTTTCTTCGCTGAGGACACAATTCCTGGTGCTCCTGGGCATCATCTCATTGGGCTTCAGTTGCTCTTTGACGCCCATCCTATACCCCACGCACCAAGCGCGATGGAGCCAAGGTCGGCGCGCGATTTCATCGGAGGGCGACGAGCTGTCGGGCACGCGGTTGACCGCCATGATTTCGGCATGGTTTACATGCAGAACAACCGAGAAATGCACACCATGGAACCAGACAAGAAGGCATGAACTAGCATGAAATCCCGCTGGAATTCTTGTTCCCATGAAATCGTTGGGGAGCGGGTGCTTTTTTTCTTGGCAGTCCAGACGACCATGACTTAAATGGGCCGAAAACATCGAAAGAACAGGTTGGTAATGGTTAGTGTTGGAACAAGATCTATAAGTGGATTCGACCCGCGCCCTTGTTGAAGTAGGTTCTCCCTTATCAGGGCGTGTTCCCTTCGTCTGGAGAAGAACCTCCCTCTCCTTGACTTGGCGGTTCGTTTGTTGATTTTGTTTGGGAGGAAATTGGGGAGGTGCGATCGATGGTCCTTTTCTAGGATGAAATCACAATGTCCAAGACGGTTGTTAGTTAAATCAGTCAATTTGATTCAATTTGTCCATAGCCCAAAGCCGCCATAGCCCATCAAAGGCCCATTTTTGCAGGGCCAGGGTCGTGGTGTCCTCGAAATTCACTGATGTCACTTTGCCGCGAAGGTGGTCGAAATGGTCCAGAAAAGAAACTTGATCACCTTGGACACCTGCGGAAATGGGTCATCGCTAATGCGCTCAAAGAACCACTCCAAACCCACCCCAAATATTTTACCGAACCTTGCAGGGAAGTAGTTGGAACCCTTGAGGATGTGAACCGATGTTTGCGGCCAAACGAGCCGCTTCCATCGCTCCCATCAGCGTCGCAAAAACCCACAGGTGCAGAGAGCGCGTCTATACCCGCTCGAAACGCGGGTCACACAGTGGCTCTTTGGCCCCGGCCAGGCGTCACCTGGGGCTTCTGGGCCATTTTCGGCCTCTTGGAAGGATGGTGATGGTCACGTTGGGATGGGTCCAAAACTGAAGACTTGCAGCATATGACTCATGGGCAAGAATATCCATGTTGCATATGTTCACAATCCTTCTTCTGTCACAAGAAAATTTAACACACCTCATCATGAGAGGTGATCTGTTTTAGATGAAAAAGATACTCATACAATCTCGTACATTGTCATGTCAACATGTGAACCGCGGCGTAAACCGCGGCGTGTACCGTTTTCCGCTCTAGGCGATGTGAACCTGGAGGGCACGGAGGAAAACTTACCCTGGTCGTTGAAGATTTGTGTGGCTGGGCTGCATCCCAGGAGGGACAAAAGGCACAAGGGCTGAACTCCCGGAGTTTCTGGCTCATAAGTTTGAGTCATAAGTCTTACCAGTTTTAAGACGCTCTTCGTCACAAAGCCTGGGAGTTGACAAACTCGGACGCGACATGGACGCGACAAATGGTACCTCCGTGGTCCTGTAGCCTCATGGTTCAGCTGGGCCTTAGAGGGTCTTGCTGGGGATCCCTTTGCATTGGCGTTGACAAAGAATTACTTGACAACTACTCCCGGAAACCCCATTGCCGACTGGCCGTGGTACATCACCTGCGGTGTTGAATGGTGAAAACAAAAAAACACGTAAACAACATGTGTGGGAGCTCTCAGTTTACAGTAGGTCTTTTTGCGCAGAAGTCGCTGTTTCTTTTATATAAATACTGTATACTTATACTGTAATTTCATGCAAATTTAAAAGGATCAACGCATCCTTAAAAACCACTCTCAGCTGTGGTAACCTGGCTTTACATTTGGACTCATTGGACTCCAAAAACATGTGTCGTCGACTGAGGATCGCAGCATAGGTCCAAAATCTGAGCCGTGAGAGGTGTCATTGCGAAAAAAAGATTGTACTACCAAAGCATACCCAAGCTAGATCTCTTGATGTTTTGTCCCTGCACAAAATCGTGGGCGCAAGAGCAAAAGATCGTTCGGACGAGGTGGACCTCTCGCATGAATCACCGAAGACGACTCAGGTGAGTTTCTTACAGTACCTCTTGTCGCTGGCTTCCAATGTGCTGCTGGTGAACTTGCTGATTGCCATGTTGCCTCTTGGCGGACGACCAAGTCGGATGATGTCAGATGGATGAAGATGAAAGATTCCAGACCTGATCGGTCAACTTGGTATGCCAATGGATCAAAGACTGATGGGTCAAAGATCCATCTCCACCCAAAATAAGAGTGCTTCTTTCTGATACTATATTTTAATATCTGAGGCATGAGCAATGAGCAGTTCCTCGAACTGGGGGTTTCAGTATGACAAGTGAAAGGTATGACAAGTGCGTATCTCCGAATCTCCTGTTCTTTGAGGAGCAGTGGCACGTACTGGCACATCGTTTTTGTTTGAACATGGGGCATTGGATGGGTGCGTCGACCACTAGCGTCGATCCATTCCGACGTGAAGCAGCTTGAGAAACTATACCGCTGGAGACCTAAAGTCGACAATCTACTGGATAGCTTCCGGGAAGAGTCCCTGAATGACAACAGAAAAGATACACTCCCAGCATCTTCCAATATATGAACTAAGCCATACTACGCAGCACAATCGGAGGTGATTGCTCAGAGGCCATTGCGTTTGCCCAAAGGGTTCCTCCCTCCGAAAACCTTGGACATATTTAAACATAATTGACACATTTTGAAAAGACCTTTGTTTAATACACAGTGCCCTTGGACATCCTTGGACAACCTACTAATTGAACACTTTCTTCCACTGCCACGTCGGCCAAATGGTCGCCCTCGCTGCCCTCAGGAATGACACCTATGTCCGGACGCCTCAGCCGGAGCGAGATGTTCACATCTTGCCGTGTGATGTGTGATTTCGACCTCCGCCCCGAAGCTTTGCACCACTTGGCACCTGTTTGTTTGTGACCCAAACGGGTGATGACCACCCCTGGTGGGGTGTAAAGGTGTTGCACAAGGATCATAAGGTGAACATGCCAGTCCCATGGATGGAGTGTGTGGGTCCTATTGGCATAGGCCGGTCTGGGATCAATCTCTCCTGGTGAACGCTCAATAGATCCTGAGGGAATTTCACCACAAACCAGGAGCATTTGACTGGAAACCTATGGAAACCCAGTGGCGGCCGGTAATGGAGGAGTTCCTTCTTGGGGTGGACGTGACAGAGGGGGTGGCCCTTCCTCGAGGAATGGGTCTCGGGTGACCCAGTCAGAGGTTTTGGGACCGGACAGCGCTCCCTTCAAGACCACCTCTTCCGTCCTACATCTCCGCGTCGTCTACGAGGCACATCTCCGGTCACAGGAGCGAAGTAATTATCTATAGGAGTCTCCCGGTCTCCCAGCAAAAAAGAATGTTTGGTGAGTAGTCCCACCTTGAGTCGCAGCAGAAACATTAAGATAAGATCCCACATCGACCATCCATCTCCATCCCTGCCCTCACACTCCATGTATACATTTGGGTGGTTTCAGGCAGAAACCTGCAGGTGAAGCTCATGGCCCTGGCAGACTCCGTGGGGGTTCGAACCCCCACGGAGTCTGCCATATGCCCCACTACTGCAGGTGGCGAACAAGGACTCCTCGAAGCGAGAATGGGCCTTCAACCGCGTGGATGCCGTCTTAGAGTTCGCCTCCCCGGAGGCGAGGCCGTCGAGCTGAGCTGCGGACGAAAGGCGGACGAAGGCGGACGTCCAGGAGCTGCGGAAGGTTCTGAACAGCGTCCAAAAAGGCCTCAATCAACGGGTGGAAGTGGTTGTTTTGGTTGTTGGGACTAACCCGGATGTGGGAATGTCCTGTTGAATGAATGGGGAGCCAGGCTGAATTCCAAGGAGGATTTGTTGGGTGTTTTTGGGTTGATGAGGAAGCCCACCCGTTTTCGTGTTCAGGGTTTTCGACACAGCTCCACCTCCAACATCTCAGAACAAACATGGCGGTATACATGATATATATATATATATATTTATTTTTATTTTGCTTTCAACTTGACCCTCGACTATAATGCCCATGGATCCACCATCGCTGCTGCCAGGCTCACATCTTGCCTCCGCCCCTGGATATCCTGGTGTCACTTGCCTCAGAGGGTTGCAATCGGATCTGACAGTTTCACGACCTGACTGGCCTTGTGTAGAAGGGTGGAGTGGAGACGTCTATTTTTCTTCGCCACCTGCTTGATCTTTTCCAATGTGTTGTCCCCTTTGGACATGGATCAGGTCCACAGTGCTTGCACAACTCTCAAGTGGGGGCAAGACCAATCGTTTGTGCAACAGGTGCAACAGGGCAAGACCAGCGAAGCAACGCCGACCCCATGCGAAGCACAGCAGACCTGAGATCGGTAGCTGACCGGCACAGCAGGCCTTGACCGGTTGTCGCATGGCCTTCATCGGGACTCGTGCCTGCCCTCCCTTCGCGTTCCGCGCGGGATCCGCGGGATCCGTCACTCGGTTTCTTCGCGTGGGGGTGTGCATGGTCGACCCCATGACTTTCACAACAGTGCAAAAAGGTTCTGCAAAGTACAGTAATTCATGCAAGGTGAGTTAACAGATGATGTTCAGAGCCCAGAAGGTCTAAGCACCTGCCGGTCTGGCAGAATTGTTCGGGTAGCTGCAGGCAAGAGAAAGACATCGCCCCATCGGTATGCGTGCCTGGATACATAATTACAGCGTCCAAGGCCAAGTGCGCAGTCGGACAAATCTGAGTGACCAGTGCCAACCCCAGCCTGCTAGAGCAATTCCGTTGGCACGTGCAGAGCTGCGTGCAGCTGCAGAGATCGCAGCGATGCGACCGTGGACAGTTTTGGCGAAATCAGACGACAGCAGCTGCTGGTTTGCACGATGTGGCTCTGAAGAAAGACGCAGTGCATGTTCCTCATCGCGCGACTGGAAGCATGCTGGGCGGCTTCGCGAGAACGGCAAGGACCAAGCAGGGGCAGCTTGGTGCCACCGTCATAGAGGTGGACGTCCACTTTGAGTATGTGTTGGGTTTGTCCTATTGCCTGTAACTGTCAGTATCACACACCATATATACCATTATCACATATTATTACTACTATTTTTGAACTAGGCCTTTACTAATCATCATCATCCACTGTTACTGGTAAATAAGATAGACCATGATAGCCTCAAAGTATATACAGTAGGTATATGTAGGTATGATATGTCATTTAAGAGCAGGTTCCGTACACGGCTGAAGGTATTTGGCACATTTAGACCCCTTCACTCATTGAGCGCATCAGAGTTCATGCAGCCCTTTGGCAATTCAGCCCTGCTTCAGATTTGGGGACAGCCACACATCGTCACACATCGTCACACTGCTCAGATCGGATTTGACGCCGCCCTGATCACTATGGCGCTGTTTTTTGAACCATCTGGGGCGACGGTTTTTGGGTGCTTGACAAACGGGTTCGACCTGAGGTCCATCCGGCACTTATGTGGAGCCAAGAAGCCGGTGAGCCGAAAGGAGGGACCGCGTTGGGGCGCGGCTGCCGCGCGGCGTGGCGTTTCGGCGTGCGTTGCGTGGGATGAAGTGGGTCGAAGTGGGCTGCTGAAAGCGGGTCGGGGTCAACATCACATAAGGATTTGTTGGTGAAATTGTTTGCACCATTCTTCGGGGGGTTGAATTCATCAGTTAGCTTATTGTAATTTGGTGATGGATCAATATGGATCATGTGGCAATTCCATGCACGTCCTAGAAGGAGTGTTTCTTGTGAGGGTTGACAAGAGAGGCATCAGGTGTTAGACATCATTCACGAGAAGATGGGTCAGATATGGTCAGATTGTATCATACAGGCATCAGATTTCCATTTGAGTTCGAAACCACGATGAAGGATGATATGATGATGAAGGTGCGATCACCAGGTCGCTCCTGAAGGTTTACGTCTACGAGTATCGATATCTACGAGTATATAGAGTATTTGGATGTATTTGGTGAATCGTGTTACCTTCACCGAGCATTTGGTGCCAAGATCACGTTCAGATACGCTGAACAATTTCCATTGGAAATCGTGCAGATCGACTTTTGTGCTACAAGAAATTTGGAAGTGTGCGATCCGAACTTGCTGCTTTCCTTACGAGGGGTCCAGGAAAGCTGCACAGGAGAAGCAGGCTTGGTTTCATGGTGGATAGCAACACAGTTCGGGTGGACCAACATGATCTCAACAACCATACGTCGCCATTCATTCAATCTACGATGCAGCCCAAAGTGACCATCCAAGCCGAGGATCTTCACTTTGTCAGGTGTTGGAAAAGTCATTGCAGAAGCATAGGAGACAAAACTGGATGGGTTGTCCACTGGAAAGGGTATCACTGGAAGGGGTATCCTGTAAGGGGTGCCATAGACAAGCTGACGGAGCACGGATATCTTGACCTTCTCAGGAAATGTGATGTGCTTCACAATGGTGTAGTGGCCAGATGTGTTTCTCATGATAGTCGTTTGCATTGTGACTTTTGGGCACAGCAGACTTCAAACCAAAAGGGGCTGGCAGAAGCTGCAAATCTTGCTTGTCACAAGCTTCTTTGTACTGGCGCCCCAATGCATAGAAGTCAATGTCTTCCTGATGATCATAGATGATCTCGAAGCAGTGGACCAGAGGCTTGATTGAACTTTCAAGATCATCCTTTGGGAGAGATGCCAAGTCAGAAAGACCATGAGGAAGCTCTGGTGTGACATTGGGTGGAATCATGCGACATGTGAGCCCCTCGACAATCTCCTTCAGGTCTTCGTAGCTCAAGTCTTCGCCAGCTACAGCCATGACCAAAGATCATGATGGCACGATTGACTTAAGTGCTGAAGACTACCCAGAGCAGCTCTCTGAAGGTCTTTGAAGGATTTCAGACGAATGTAAACTTAATTTACAATCATTTTATGCAAATATTTGTTTATTTTCCTCTTGGGTTGGCCAGGGACGGACCCCCAAAAACGGTGCTTATTGAGGCCTTAGCGGTAAGGCTTGGATGAACACATATTTTTGGGCTGGCATTTCTTGCATTATTGTCCCGCCCCTGGCCAACCCAAGAGGAAAATCGCTACCAATATTGAGAAGATTGTCCAAACTCAGAGTTCGTTAATTTGAATCATAGTGCGTTACAGACAAAGAAGACAGCGCGGTGAGTATGTGTATTTCATCTTACAGGCTTCCTTGCTGCGGTCTAATTTTTAGTGACAAATACACGCTCACAGCGCTCCTCTCTCATAATTATACATATATTATCATATCCTTATGATATCTAATGATATCCATATATGATATATGATATAATACAATATGTGTGTCCTTCCCTTTTGGCCTTTTTTGCACCGACCCTGGTTCGCCCAAGCTCGAGTTTCGGCAGGATGCAGCTCACTGCTGCGTCTTGGCCAGCGTGGTGCCCTTGGGACCGCACGAGGCGGGCACGGGGCGTGTGGAGGTGGCCAGATGTACTGTACCAAGTACGCCTAGTAGATTTGGGTGCTTGACTTAGGGTCAATGTAAATATGTCAGTCCCGTGGAGTGTTTGGGTATAGAAGTATATCATATAATTATAGTTGATGCGTGTGTATTTGTAGTAATGGCCTTCGACTTGTTTAATTTCACCACGTGCCCGCCACCCGCGGGTCCGGACGTGAAGGACGACAACCGATGTCGACGGTTCCTGTCGGTTCCTTTGTCGAATGTCAAACCATGCGACAGCAACCGATAGGAGACCTTTGCTTAGCTCATGGCATTCATTTCGTAGCACGTCAGATTTCGTCTACGCGTTGATCAACGCGCTGATCTATCCCAGACATTCCATGACCGACATTGACCCCAGGTCAAGCACCCCAACTGATCAGTAAAATGTGTTGGTCCCCATGCAGTGCCAAGGTATTAGACATGTGGTCGATTGTGTTCCCATCAGCCGTCAGGTGCAGATCACCATCGACGTCAACGGGGGCGACATCCAGGCAGGGACCGGTGACATCTGAATGGAGATGCATCGCTGGGTTCGGACTGATGATTTCCTACAATTTGGATGTGTATTTTGATAAGGGGACCTCCCAACCAATGGGTAGACCGGTCTAGTTTCCTTCTTCCAGGGGGATCGAACTGGGGGTCTCCCTGCTTGAGCTACACACCCGTTTTCGGTTCTAACGAACGGCTACCAGCGGGGCTCGGCGTACCGCAGTCCTAACTCGCGCATGCGAAATGATAACGTCGAAGTGAACAATGAGTGGTTCAAAGGATGGCGTCGTTGAGATATTGTTTGCAAATATATAATTAGTGGCAGAGATTTGAGGTTTCCTAATGTTTGGTCGAATGAATAGTTCATTCGGGTCCCTGAAAGCATGTTTACCAAAGCATGTATAAAGTTTATGATGTTCAATTCAGTTGTTTTTCAAGAACATTGGATTTGGTATAACTTGGCATGGAACACTTCGTTGGGACATTTACCCTTGCAAATACTTGAACACCTTCCGTATTGAGGGCCTTTGGGTCAAGATGAAGCTTCCACTAAAGGCCCATAAGGCTTCGCCCCGTGCTGCCGAGCCAATAGTTTCCCACCAGCCATGCCCGTGTGTGCAGTTGATGGAAGAAACCCAAACAGCACGGTTAGCGGTTGGCAACCAAACAGCAAGACAACCTCCAATTGTATACAGTAATCAGAAATCAGCAGCGTATGATTTATTATGATACATAGTTAGAGAAAACATAGACACAAGATGATACGACGAGACGACAACTCCAAACTGTCTAGAAGATGTCCGCAAAACCGTCCCTAAGCGAGCAATCCAATGGATGTTAAAGTGGCGAGTCCTGTCTGGTCGAGGCAGCGGACTCTTCGCTCTTAGCCTGGGAGGCGCCGGTCGAGACTCCCGTTTTGCGGTCTTTTTAGGTCTGAAAACTGCAACGTTTGGATGGCATGTGAATAGTTTTGATTATGTTTTGTGTATGTATAGTTTGTGAGTGATTTTTTGCATGGTTCAATTGTGGTTTTTGAAGGTTGACTTTGGCTGAATCTGTTTAATACATGTTCAACTATAATTGCAGGAGGCTCACCAAAAACCTATGGACTTATGTCACACGACTTTGGCTGCTTCGATTGGTGTGTAAGAGTTTCCTCATGTTTCCTTTCAGGAGAACCC